CATTTGGCAGTTATAGGGAGATGTACACTTACAATCAAGGCGTGGAAAATATCCCATTTATCCCATATGTCCCAAAAATATTGAAAATAATCCCTGAGCCTGTATGCATTAGAATTGAGATATCCCAACGTATCCTTAGTGTATTGGATGTGTAATTTTAGGTTTTGATGAGATATCTCAATTCTAATGCATACAGGCTCAGGGATTATTTTGAATATTTTTGGGATATTTGGGATAGTTTCCACGACTTGATTACAATCGACTCTAGCATCAAAATCTAATCATTCAAGCCTACTTAAAGATAACTGAAACCTAAAACTTTAGTAGAATAACTCAATTCCATTGGAAATTCCCTTCAAAATTGAACTTCCCCCAACCTTAGTCAACATTCTCTTCTATCCAATTCACTTTCTATTCTATTTATCTACAATCAATTGCAAATCAATAACTTTACTTTACTAACCAAATATTTGATCTTAATTTTTGACTAGTTTAGATGTTTTTAATTTATAATTTAATTTTCTCTTTTGTATTTTCTTTTTTTTTTGTTTCCTGTGTGTAATCTCTTAAATCTCTCATAAATATTAAACATATCCTGTACACCTTAATCAACACAAATTATCCTTCAAATCCTTCTTGATCCTGTGAATGTTTTGCAATTTTTAAAAACTAATTTTATATGAAAATTAAAAAAAATATGTAAAATGTGTGAAAATTGTTCCAATCTATCAAGATGAGGATAACAAGGAAAAAGGTAGAGTTTAAATTAATTTATATTTCCTTTTATTTATTGACACTAATTTTCAAACTGTTGTGGACCTCTTTTTGGCATTTATGTAAATATTGACTCAAAATTTTGTGAACTTTTTACTTTTTATTCAAATTTCCCATGGTTCGGAACTGACAACAAATCTTACTTTTACTAAGAATCGATCAACTTCTGACTAAACTTTCTTATGTAAAATTTAATTAAATTGATAAAAAATTACAAAATGGATTGGAAATAATCAGAATCATTGTATTTACTGTACAAAAGATCTTTTGCGGTTGAGTGAATCACTTCACTTGGTATGGTAATCCTTCAACAATTCCTTTTTATCCTTAATTTATTGGGTAATTTATGATAGAATTTTATGACAATTTTTTAAAATTATTTGAGAGAATTTGCCTTAAACAGATAATCTTTGGCTTTAGGAGCTTTTGTTTTTGGTTTCTATGACTACAGAACGTTGGATTCGTAAAATAAAAAATCTAGGTTATATCATAGACATCCTGCAGTGACATTCAATTATTGAAGTCATAAATTGTGTCATTTTTGAAATGGAAAAAGAGCTTTAAAAAACTTGACTTTTCCTGAGATTGAACTCAAAACTATTGGCAGGTAAGGACAACGATCTACAACTTAGGCCAGTGATGCCATTTCACCGCTTGGTTCTTACTAATCACTGACATTGAGATCATTGACACATTTGGGGTTATTTTAATGTTTACAAGTGAAATTCTTTTGTGTTGATTTTAAAAAACCATGAAAAACTAGCTTTTAATTCTAAAATTGTCAAAAATGATAAAAATTCTATCAAAATTCAGTTTATCAGTTTTTCACGTTTGCTTAAATCAAGCTTAAATTAGAATTATAGACTGGGGAGTTTAGAAACCAAATGTTTAAAACCGAAAGAATTAATCTAGACGAGAATCTACCAAAATTCTATCATAAATATAAAACCGATCTTTTCTACCAAATCCAAATCCCTGACATCTCCGATTCCTACATTCACCAATCCTATCCTTTTTTTACCTACAAAATTTTCTTCATTTAAATTATATAAATTTATTTTTTTTTAACTTTTCATCCTAATCAAAAAATTAATTTTTTAATCCTCGTATTTTTCATTTTTGACTTGAACTTAATTAGAATCCGATGCAAATGCAGGTAATTAGCAATCTTATAATTTTGATTAAATTTCTTGCATAAAAATATTAATAAATCCATAATAACCTGAAATCAAAACTCATAAACAGCACAAAATAACTGCCAGATATGAAAAATCCTTAACCAGCCTACACTGATTTATTTTGGTGGATTTGAATTTCACTTTGGTGCGTCGTAAAAAGTGAATAATTTAAAAGGTGATTGGCAAAAAAATTGAATTCATGGCGAAATGAGGTTTGTGGATCAATTATTTTTAATTCTTAAATTTTTTAAACTTTAAAAAAATATTACTACTTATTCTACTTTACTGTACAAATACAAAATACAGTTCTGTGTCGTCAAAAATGCTCTTAATTATTTATTAGCAAATTGCTATGAATCTTGAACTTTAATCCTTTTGTGATGGTGTGTTTGATTATTGAACCTATTGTGGTGGATTTATGCATTTTATTCTGAATGATTTTATGGTGAATGTTGAAACCTATGCTGAATTTATGCTTGAAAAAACTTAATTGCATGCTTTTTAATTTTTTTTATTATTTATTATTTAATATGTTGAATATTGGCTTTAGATCAACTCTTTATTTTGGGTTAGTATGATACTCTGTAGTGTAGCTTATATTATTATTATATGTAGTTTTTATAAGTATAGTTTTGTAGCTTATATAAATTTTTTTTTGAAACTCATTTTTTGGTGATGGACAAAATTAAAATTCACAAAAATGATGAAAACTGTCCGAGTTTTTGAGAATTTTTTTGAGGTTAGCTATTGATTGAAGCTATTCATCAGATGACTAGCATCTCTTACTTCAAGACAGTGAATGTTAAGATACTAGCCACTGCTCTAGAGTGGCCCCTTCAAGAAAGTTGCCCGCAAATCCCTCAAAAAATTCTCAAACTTTAATTCCATCATTTTTCATATTCTCAAACTCAAAACTATCCAAAATGTTTCTAAAATTCTCCTTCATCACTTAAACAACTTCAATAGAACATCGTCCACATGGTGTTGGTCGCGAGGTTCCAATGATTCCACGCACTGAAAGCACAAGCGAATTCCAACCATTGGAAGACAAGGAAGTTGAATATTTCTTTGCATCTGATGCATCAGCTGTCATTGAACACACAAATCGTGTCATTTACTTGGAGGTGAGTTTTTTGTTTATAGAATTGGGTCAGCTTTATGATTATGAGGGATATTGGTTGACTGATGAGTCAGGGGTCGGTTTGTAGAGGTTTTTTAAGCCATATTTGAAGATATGACAGGATATATCAAGTAGAAGCGATCTTAGGATGCAATATTGTAGATAGAACCACTGGAGACCAAAGGTTGTAAAAACTGGAACCATTGTACTTACAATTGAATAACTAAAGCAGTCTTAACTGCTGCTAAACTAAGCTTCAATGTTTTATTCAACAGACTTCCTTAAACACAACTAAATCTACAATTTTTTCTTTATATTTTAGGACGATGATGTTGCAGCAGTCAAAGATGGAGCACTAAGCATTCATCGCTTGAAGAAGTCTTTAGACGACAAGCACGCACGTGAAATCATCACACTCAAGATGGAAATCCAAGAAATCATGAAAGGAAGCTACGAATACTTTATGCAAAAGGAAATTTTTGAACAGCCGGAGTCAGTCATCAATACAATGAGAGGTCGTGTTAATTTGGTCAATAATACAGTCACACTCGGTGGTATTAAGGAATACATCCCAGAAATCAAACGTTGTCGTCGTTTAATGTTGATTGGATGTGGAACATCATATCACAGTGCTGTAGCTACACGTCAACTTCTTGAAGAACTCACAGAACTTCCAGTTATGGTTGAACTTGCTAGTGACTTCCTTGATCGTAACACACCAATTTTCCGTGATGATGTTTGCTTCTTCATTTCACAATCAGGCGAGACTGCAGACACATTAATGGCCTTACGATACTGCAAACAACGTGGTGCTCTTATTGTCGGTATTACAAACACAGTCGGAAGCTCAATTTGTCGTGAATCACATTGCGGTGTTCATGTTAATGCTGGCCCTGAGATTGGTGTTGCATCCACAAAGGCTTACACATCACAATTCATTTCACTCGTTATGTTCGGTTTGGTCATGAGCGAAGATAGAATTTCATTGCAGACACGACGACAGGAGATCTTGGAGGGATTAAAGAATTTGGATACACAAATTAAGGAAGTTTTGGAGCTTAACTTGCAGGTTCTTGAGATTGCTAAGGATTTATACCAACAGAAGAGTTTATTGATTATGGGGCGAGGATATAACTTTGCTACATGTATGGAAGGTGCATTGGTAAGTTGTCATTATGTTTTTGCATATTTATGATCAGGAGAACCTTAGGTTCCTTTAAACATGACAAAACTAACTTAATTCTCATTTTAAACCCATTTATAGAAAGTAAAGGAACTCACATACATGCATTGTGAAGGAATTATGGCTGGTGAATTGAAGCACGGTCCACTTGCCTTAGTCGATGATTTGATGCCAATTGTTATGATTGTAATGCGCGACTGTGTCTATAACAAAACTATTAATGCCATTCAACAAGTTAAAGCTAGAGGAGGTCAACCAATTGTCATCTGCGAGGAGAATGACAAGGAGACGATGCAATTTGCTCACAAAGTTTTGGAAGTTCCAAAGACTGTTGACTGTTTACAGGTACGATATAACCTCAAAAAAAAATTAAGTTCTGGTCATTTATTGAAATCTTTTGTCATTTTAGGGTGTTTTGACTGTCATTCCAATGCAACTGTTGTCATATCACATTGCCGTATTGCGTGGCTGCAACGTTGATTGTCCAAGAAATCTCGCCAAGTCCGTTACTGTTGAGTAACTTAAAAAGTATTTAAATGACGCACAAAATGCGCCTTTTGTATCCATTGTCATGTCAACTTATACAACTTGTACTTTAATCATTAAAAATTTAATTTTTTTGATATTAAAAATGAAGAAAATTCCATAAAAAAATTATTTGTTTGTATTTTTGTCAAGAATTATCTTTATTGTGAACCTTTTTTGAGTTATAAATTTTATAAATAAAGAAAAATTTTTGTACTTATTTTATTATTTTGATGAAAAAACGGTTTTATTTTATTATAAAAAAATTAACATTACAGATTGTTAAGCTAACGGATTCGCATGAATTGTCACATGATTAATTCTTTTTTCCACCAACGGTCGATAAGTCTTTGGATTCACTGTTAGCTTCTCAAGTTCATCCAGTACATCAAATCCATCAATAACTTTTGCAAACACAGTATATTTTAAATCCAGAGCAGGTTGTGATGAGTAAGTAAAGAAGAACTGTGACTGATTACTATTCGGTCCACTATTAGCAAATGACACCATTCCTCGCTCATTGTGTCTCACATTATCCTTAAATTCATCCTCAAACTTTTCTCCCCAAATTGACTTTCCACCTTTTCCAGTGTTTGTTGGATCTCCAGTTTGTACAATAAATCCTTTAATATTTCTGATAAAAACACAGCCATTGTAATAGTCTGAAGCACATAGTGCGAGGAAGTTTTCAGCTGCTTTTGGAGTATCTTCACAAAAAACTTCAAGTTTGATGTCACCAACGTCTGTATGGATGGTTACTGACTGGAATATAAGAATATTGAAGTGTGAATTAGTAATAAAGATTCAATGCTGACAGCACAACGGCTGGTTGCTTGATACTTAAGCCATACTGCCCTACAGAGGATACTCGACGATTTGGGTAGCTTCAGAGTATTTTATTATTTATAGCAGTGCTTTTCAGCTCATGGCTCAAGCTTCATATGCTTAACATTGTTAGCAAATAACTTAAAATCATAAAACTTACCATTTTGGCTACTTTATGAGATATTCCTTTAAGTTCTTATGATTTATGTTGTCACTACAGACAGCAACAACGTAATGTTAGCTTCGACAGATCAAAATTGTTGATTAAATTCCTCAAAAATTGTCAAACTTCCAAAAACTTTATCCAAACGCCGCAAAACGTAAACAATAACATTGCAACCTATTTCACTTAGTACCTCTATAATTTAAAATACCTGCTAGGATCTATTTAACAAACTAATTTACTTACTTTAATTAAGATCTCAATAATTGTTTTGTAATCTGCATTAGCCACTATAAGATAACAAGTTATAATTCACTATAAAAAAATTCAAGGCGTAGGAAAAAGTTCTCAAGGGGTCCAAAATACCTCTGTTTACAATAAAACATCCACAGTGAAAGTTAAATTCACAAAAATTCAAAATTTTGACAACTATTTAAACTCCATAAATGGCAAAGGCATCAAAATCAACAATACAAACATTTAGTCTAGATGATGTCGTTTACGAGGACGAAACGGAAACAGCAGATGAGCAATACGAGTTAGTAGAAGCACAAAGTGATCCATTAGATGCAATTGACTTTGATGATGAGCCACAAAACATTAAAGTTGAGCCAGATGTTGACTTTGAGTACATGGAAGATCCACAAGATGATAATGATGATGAAAATGCCGAATATGTGATAACAGAAATTAACGATCCGTCAGCATACTCAAATATTGTGGATCTTCAGCCTGTAGATCCAGAACCGTCATCATCAAAGTATGTCTGTAATGTCTGTGGGAAGTGCTTTCAATACCTGCGTAGTTATAATCAGCATAGATTGACTCATGCCTTGAGAACGGACGTAACAGAATGTGAAATTTGTCATAAGGAACTTAAAAGGACAGCACTTGAATATCATATGAAGTATAGACATATCGATGCTAGGAATTATAAATGTGAAGTTTGTTTGAATCGGTTCAAGTCACCAGGTGCATTAAGACATCATATTGCGACCTTCCATCCACGTGAAGGATATGATTGTGATGAATGTGAGCGGGTCTTTAAGACAAGGTTCTTTTTGAATAAGCACAAGGAGGAAGTCCATGGTGAGTAGATTAATTGAATTAATTTAAAAAAAAATTATCTGACTTTTTTGTTCAAATTCCAGTGTTCAAGCCTATAGTCATAACGAAGTTTGATTGTCAATACTGCAACAAGGTCTTTAAGAATCAAGGACAATTGACCTTACATATTGGAATTATGGGAAAGAAGCTTGGAAAATGTCGTGACACTTTGAACTCGTAGGATTATCAGGATTAAGAAATAAGGCAGTATAGATTCTAAAACTTATGTAAAATTGGTTCTTAATGCTAGTGCTGCATTCTTTTTCCTACCATTATTGAAATCCAAGTATAGAATGTCTGATTTTAAGGAAATTTTTGGTTTATGAGTCATACATGCATCTGTAGATTCTATTAAATACCAATTAATGGACATCATGAATTGAATCCTATTGAATCATACATATAGGATTGATATTAATTACCTGGACAGTACCACAAAGTGCTGTTTATAATTATATGACTCTATACTTTATTAATAGTTATTAAATTTTGCTTATTATTGAACTTTAATTGAATAAGGAATGAATAAATTAAATAGAATAATATTTCAAAGTTGTTGATGGTTTTACTTAATATATGAATTTGTCAAATGGATGTCCAGCTAGAGGGGCGTGATAACTTGTAAAATAATTTTTGAAGTTTTTCTTAAAAACACTAAAAACTTCTTGGCAAACGTGCCCTCTTAATACTTTTTGACTAAGCACCAGACAGTATCAGAGTCATTTTTTGTACAGATTTCTGTTCTTTGACGACAATGTGATGGAAATAAAATTTAGGGATGCTGCTGAAAAGCGATGAAGAATTAAACACCAAAGCCCAATTAAACTTTCTCTGATGGAGATAACATTTATTAATTAAATACACCAGAAATATACAATTTTCTTACATTTAAACGTTCTTTGGCCGTCGTGAACAAATCAAAGTCAAGGGAAAAAAACTATGCGCAATTTAATGGACTAAAATGGGGAATATCTAATGTTTCCCCACAAAACCATTCAAAAACCTACTGGCGGTTATAAATAACTCTGTAACTTGGTGACAGATACCATTAATTACGGGGAGGATTCAAAAGATTCTAAAATTGAAATTCCAAAATTATACCATATTAAAATTAAATTCGCTTATAAAGTTCAAAGTAGTTTACTCATTTGTTTTTTTCAACTTACCAAGGCGTATGAAACTACCTAAAATAGACAATACAGTCGATTGTGTATGTTTTCACATTAATTTGTAAATTTGTAAACAAATCTTAAGCAAAGAGTTTTAAAAAGTATTAATTTTGAGAATTTTGATGACTTTTGCAACAAATTCTCAATTTTTGCTAGCATATAAAATTGAGATTATGTGCTTGAATTGCACAATCGATTGAGAGAAGCAAAAGAGAAAACAACAAATATTGCAATCATCAAAAATTATTAATTCGAAGAAATATTAAAATTAAACCAACTTACCAGGGTTTTCTATCCTCAGATAGACTTTGGTATATTAGTGGATTTTTGTAATTACAACTCAACTCAGGTATGTAAACATTTAGTAATCAAGAGATAACATGGCATTGATGTGTTCTAAATCTTCAAAAATGATAAAACCCCCTAATTTCTAATCTTTATTGCTATCTCTTCCAGGAACCTATTTGGGTCTCAGTCAACATAATCATGGCATCACAAAGCTCTATTAACTATGACAACTTCATAGAAATAAAGCAAGAAGTTGAATCAATCTACAAACCCCCGGTCATCATTCAAAATAATGTCTTTAGTGAGCAACACACATTTAAATCCGAGCCTGAAGAGAATTTTTGTATGGAAATTGATAGCCAAGCTAACGAGCATTTTGTAGATACTGGAGTTATTCACAATGCATCTACAAACAGCAATGAAAACTTCCTGAAAATCTCTTCGGTTACTCAAGGATTTAATGTTGATGATTTAACAAATAAAACAGTTGGTAAAAGAGGCAGAAAACCTAAAAATGTCGAGGCTTTAAAAGTGACAGCAAAAATGAAACCAACAAAAAATACAAAAATTTTACAAAAAGCTGTAAAAAATGCAACAAGTTTAGACCAAAATATACAAAAAACTAGGCAAAGAAAAGCAACTCTTAAAAAGAGTGTTAAAGGGCAAGATCCAGAGCAGGAGATTCAAATCTTTGGTGAAAATAAAGGAGCTCTAAAACTTACTTTGGATAAAAATTCCAAAACTAAACCAGATAAGCCTTCAAAATCAGTCCAAACAGCCACAATAAATCAAAAGATAATTCAAATTTATGGTTCTAATGATGAAGAATCTAGGAAGTTCGACAATTCAAAGATTCCAATTCAGAAATCTCAAACTTTGCCATCAAAATCAATCAAAAGTTCTCAACAATCCCTTAAAAATCACCAAAAATCAATCAAATCAGAAACTCCAACACAAAGCCTTCAAAGTTCGTTCATAGTCGACAAAAACAGCACATCTCAGCTAAAAATAAAAATCTCCAGATCCCAAAAGTCACTGGATTCAACAGACAAACAAAAAAAGCCACGACAATGTAAGAAACAACCACCAAATGACTCAAAAGGACCAAACATATTCAAACAAGAATCTAACACTAAATCAATAATCAAACCAGAACCAGAAGTCCCACTACACATCCTCCCAGACGACTACGATCTCAAACTCATCGACTACGAACCAAAAATCACAAAAAAGCGCAAAATCATCAGACTCGACTGCGATCATTGCGGTAAAGTTTTTAAGTCTAAATATTCAATAATCTGGCATATGAAGGAACACATGCTGACCATGCCATTTAACTGTAAAGTATGTGGCAAAGGATTTTCATACGAAAGAAGCTTTAAGCAGCACGAATTGACGCATGCTGCAAAAGTCAAATGTGAAATTTGTAGTAAAAGTTTAAAGCCACACGCAATGTATTATCATATGAAGTACAGGCATACAAGTGAGAAGACACATCAGTGTCCAGTATGTCCAAAAGCATTTAAAACGAAGGATAATATAGCAAGGCATATGATGAGACACAATATGGAGTTTCCATGTACAATTTGTGGACGGAAGTTTGCTGAAAATTCAAGGCTGCAGATGCACTTGAACATGCATGAGAATCCTGAACAATTTTTCTGTAGCATTTGCAATAAGTCATTTGAGCATATTGACAGGCATATGAAGAGACTTCACGCTCAGAAACGAGAACGGAACCTGAAATGTCGATATTGTGAATATGCATCAGATAGCAAGCAGACATTAAGGAGGCACGAGGAAATGCACGAAAAAAGAAATGAAATTTTGCAGTCAAAAACGAAAAAGCGAAAAATTAAATTAAAAATTATTGAAATGAAGACTTTTGAATGTAAAGTCTGCAATGTTGTGCTGCAGACCAAGTCAGGATACAAAAGTCATCTTAGGCATTATCATAAAGGAAAGGATCAAGTCAAAGCAGTTCTAGTTAATGAAATTAAGGACGAAAGTTCAATGGAAAGTGACAATTTTGAGGAAATTAAGGTTGAGAAGGAGGAGATTAGTTTAGTACAATAAATTAATAATTTAAAAAAAAATGTGTAAAAATAAATAATTTCGTTAAAAATATATTCTTTTTTATTAATATTATGCATTAGCCTTTTAATTTATTTAAATTTAAATATGTACAAAGTTTCTATACATTTTGTTGCTTTTTGTTTTTTAAGGTTTCAGGCATTCAATTTGCCTTTTGTCTCTTAATTTTTGATTTCATTTACGGATTTTACTTTCTTTTGTATTTCATTTGATTTATTCGGTGTTTTGAGATGCAAGATGACTGTTGAAGTTCGCTTTTAGCTTTTTAAACTCTAGCTTACTTACTTATTTGTAAGTCTGACTTACAGGTCAATTGTGATCCATTGCCTCCCTCAGATGCCGCCTTTCGCTGGCTTCTTCAAAATCATGCAAGCAATGGTAAAAAAAAACTATTTTCAAAATGTGATAGATTTTGTTTTAAAATTTAAATTTAATAAAAATCAATTATCAATCAGTTTAGTCAAGATTTGATTAGCTTAGCTGATGACGTGGACATTGTTGGAAGACACATCAGGTTCGTAATCGACGCTTTATCCAGAATGGAAAGGCAAGTTTATAAGGGTACACAATTGATTTGTAAAGCCAACGATGTATGTATGTTAGTCAAGATCAAGGCGTGGAAACTCAGGAGTAATCCTGAAAAATCCTTAAAAAAATTTTTGAGCCAATAAACATGAAAATGTAAAATCCCTGATGCATTTGATGAATAATTTCGGGATTTTAAAAAGATTTTACATTTTCATGTTTATTGGCTCAAGGATTTTTTAAGGATTTTTCAAGATTAATCCTGAGTTTCCACGTCTTGGATTCAAATTATTCTCCAAAAAAAATTATAAAATTTAAATCTTTTCGTTTCCAACAGTTCTTTTTTTTCTTCAAAATCAATCTATTTTGCCTTTCATCTCAATTTTAAGCCTTTAATTGTATTTTACTTGGGCAATTTTCAACATCTCTTTATCTGCAGCTTTAAGTTTCTCTTTATATTTCTGTGTTTCAACTTCCAATTCAGCTTTTAATTTTTCCATTTCCTCATTTAATTTTGCAATCTTGTGATTAAATTTTTCAATTAAGATTTGCTTTTGAATTTTCAGTTGATTAACGTAATTTTGATGTTTTTCGGCTTCTTGTTTTTCAAAATTTTTTATTTCTAGCTCTCTCATTTTAGCGATTCTGTTTAGTTCTTCGTTATTTTTTTCTTCAGCAATCTTAATCTTTTCGATTTTTTTAGCATCAGTGAAGTCTTCATTAGCTTTTATTCTTTTTATTTCTGAAAGTTCCTCATTAGCTTGTTTCTCGGTCTCTTTGTGCTTACGTTCAGCATGTTGTTTTTCTTCCAAACTTAAACTTGTTTGTTTTACTACTTCTGATAAATTTTTAATGTTTCCTTCTGTTTGGTTGCTCCATTCTTCATAAAGTTTATCAATTTTCTTAATTAATTCTTCCTTAAATTTGACATGATGTTCTTCATTTCCTATTTTAAGTGCTTCTTCATACAGACTAAGAGCTTTGCGTTTGCTTTCATTAAATAATATAGTGCTTTTCTCGATTTCAACATAAACTGGATCTTTATGCTCAAAGAAAAACTCTTTAAATGTTTCAAAACACGAATTAACAATAAAAGTCAATTCTT